TTTTCAAATAAATAGTGGAGAAACAAAATAGCTGAGATATCAAGGTTTAAAAAGCTTCTACTGTGCATGCATAATAACTTTTCATAAGGATTTTACTACGCATTTTGTATTATGGATCCATGATATGCAAATGTGTACTGCTGTTAATATGCATTCACAGCATACCCCATAACTGCTGCTTTGCTGTCTACTGTGAATGCATGTTAAGAATAATACACAAAACACAGTTAAATGCACTCTATAGAATGGCTGCACAGCAACAAATATGTTACTGAGCACATACCACGATTTTTTTTCCTGTGCCCAGGCTGTATAGTTTTGAATTATAAGTGACTCTATTTCCAATGCAGTATTATCATAATACATTTAACAGAGCCAAACATTAATACATTCACTGAAATAATATCAAGTTCAAAGGACTGCAGAGCCTCCACAGTGCATCAGGGAGACTGACCCAAACTGCACTGCAATCAATGGGAGCCCTTCCAGTAACTTCAGTGCACGCTCATCGGATACCCAGGGAATGTCTCTACTGTGTGTTGTTTTTTTTTTTACTTTAAGTTTCTTCATCATCCTCTCCCAACTGGCTCCTATCTCCCAGTTTTGCTGAAACATTGGAATTAGAATAAGAATCATTAGAATTAAGAAACTCTAATGAAGTTTGCTCAGGACCAGTTTGGTGTGTGGTGGTCTGGGTCACCCACTGACAGCAATGGGACCTTGTGGTCAGTGGGGTACTGTTCAGAACGGGGGTTAGCTAAATCTTTTTCTCTTCTTTATTTCTTTATCTTTCTAACATAGGCACTAAACATCCCAAAAACTTTGTTCCTTGTGTGTGTAAAGCCATGGTGACAATCCCACAATGCCAAACTCCCTCTTCTTCACCCATGAGCTGGCATGAGTTTGCCTTCCACAGCACCTACATACACAGCCTAAACACCACAGGAGGACCAGAAATGCCCTCTCCAAACCTGCTTACGTCTGGTCAGGCTGCAGTGTTTAGTGTCTAAGCCAGAGCAAATACATAGGTAACAGTATGAAAAACAATGGCTTCTGGCTCCAGGATCCTGTTGAGTTTGGAGCTCAGGGGGAGATGGGAAGACCTTTTTGGAATTTTTTTATTTGTGTGGTTTTGGGGTTTGGTTTTAGTTTGTTTGGGTTTGGTGGTTTTTTTTTCACTTTCATTTTTCTTTTTCTTTTACAAAAGTAGAACGAAAGAGGATGGTGTCTTGTGCAGGGCTCTGGTCTGTCAGCCCCAGTGAGTTTAAGACTGAGCAGAACTGGGACCCTCTGGTGAAGGCAGGACTGTATCCCTACGGAAGGAGCTGCTGAGGGAGGAACCAAGACCAATGTGCCATATGCTGGGTGCCTGTCCTGTGTGCAGATAGCGCACTATGAACTGAGGTGATGTGTATCCCTGTCCAGCGATGACCCAGCCCCGTTCTGCCTCTCTGTGTCCCTAGTATGCTGCCTGAGACTATGAACTGCTTTGTGAGGGGAACTTGATGTTCCCATCAAGTTGACTAAGCCCTCTCCCACCAGTGCTAAAATGGTGTTCAAGGATATACGTCCTTCTCCCAGGAGATATTAAAGATGACATTAATAAGGACCCCTGGCTTCAGAGGAATAACCTAGATTAGCTCAAGAGTTCAGTCTGAAAATTGTTGGGTTTTTTTTTTAACCCATCTGCTAATGCTGCAAATTATTATAAATGTGCTCTGCTCTCAGCTCCCTGTAATGAGGACGTACTTTTTGCTCTAATCAGACATCCTTAGTTTTATGTTTTGAATAGGCTGTTAGGGACAAATACGGAAGAGCTGCAGAGGGGTTAGTTACTCTATTTTAATGGGAGTCGCTTCAGTAAAACATGAATTTAGAATCTGAAAATGGTCTCTAATACTAATTGCTGATGGTTAAGCAAAAATGAGTTTGTGACCAGAAATTCCTCTAAGATTTCTAGAAGACATGACCAGAATGGGTCTGATTTAGATATAACATACATTTGGCATAACCGTCTTAGTTTTGAGCTATTCCTGGCTTACACTTAATATAAATGAGTTGAGAAAGGGTGGGACCAAATAATCTTAAAATTGAAAATACATATTTTTAAAGATTAATAAAATGTATTTCACCTATAAAAGTAATGGCACAGTATAGGCTGAAAGTTTTATTACCAGCTTAAGTGGTCATATGCGCCATGCAGCAATATGGGATTTAAGGTACTTCTTTCCATGGGGAAAAATGCTCTAGACAGACCAGTCATGAAGCTGTGTCACTTCTTGAAACTGCAGGGGGTTAAGATCATTCCTATTGCTTTGTGGTGTGAAGCAACCCTATGGTACATCTGAGAAACTTTCTTATTTTATTCATACTTGGTGACTGGGGTTGTCACACTCTCTGTTACCTTACCTTAAGGATGCTCTGAGATCAGTAAGTTAGCCTTTAGAGGCTGCAGCAGGGACTCTTAGCTGTAGCACACACGCTGATGCTGCTAATCAATGTCTACTCTCTAATGGCAATCTCTGTCAAACAGCTAGTTAGTGATGCTGCTTTTTTCCTCTCTGTAGTCTGCTGGTGGCTACAGTGATTCACAGGCATGCTTCCCCCGTGTTTCCATTTTGAGAATGTCTCTGTCCCCATCAAATCATGGTTTTGGGGATGGACCTTGCAGCCAGTCCTCTCTAGAGGAGTTAGTGTGGGTGTGCATGACCCCGGAAGAGACCTATGCTGCTTCCCCTTATAAGCAGACCCCATGGCTGTGATGCATGCTTTCTCTTCTGTAAAGTGTGGCCATTCTTCCTTACAAAATCCCTGAGGTTTATGATTTGGATTCCTCTCCCCAGTACAACTCTCCCACAGCAAGAGGCACCTGATGGAATGCTCTCCCTAGATCACCCATCTGGGTGTTCCTGATACATTTTCTCCTTTCCTGCAGTCTTCTCCCTGTGAAATTATCTGTTGCATGGGAAGCAACAGTGTGCTGAGCCTTGTGTGGTGAGGTGGTGCTGGGGCAATGACCCTCTGGGAAGCAGTGGGACCTCTGAATGTGTGGCACTGACACCAAGCCAATTAGAGGAGCAGAATGCTCTTACAGAAGGCGCATACAGAGATGAACAGTTTGCTTAAGACTTGCTCTAAGTTAAATGCAAAGCAGAAGGAAACAGAAAGTTAACGCTAACTTGATGGAGTGATTTCAACTTCTGGTGGACAATTACCCCCCAGGAAATTATAAGATGTTTTGTAAGGGGAGCTTCATAAAAGATTCTTGCAATCTTCATGAGAAACTGACATTTCCATTAGTTGCAGCAGACCTTTGAAACTCAGCAGGGAGAAAGCCCTCAGGCTAAGGGAATGACTTTTCTTTACCCCTATGAAATTTTATCCAGGTTTAGGTGAGCTGTAAGCTCTTAACTAAGAATCACCATTTCCTTTCTCTTTTGTGCACTCCTCAGGCAAACTTTAGCAGCATGTTGAAATAATGCCTGAACATCTTGGGGGGGGGGGGGGAGACCTTAGAAATAACAATTCCTTTAAACTAATTTTGCAAGGAGATTATCAATGTTGAGAAGTTGAGTAGCTGAAGGTAGGGAATGCCAGAGCTACAGCTATGAAACCTCTATTTATGTGCAAATAGGCAGGTAGTTTCTGAACAGCACAGCTCGGCTGAAGGGCTTGTTTCTATGGAATAATATGAAGTATGGGGCAGGATGACTCAGGCTTGCTGTAATGGGAATATCTGCTCCTTTTGGTTTGCCTTCTATTATCTGAATTTATAACCTTCCTTGGACAGAGCTTTTCCTGAGATACTGGTCTGAGGAAGGTAAGTAAATTTTCCATTCAAAAAGCAGAAAAGCTGTGCAGCCAGGCATCCCAAGCTGTTAACGAACTATAGCTTCCCTTACCTTCCCAAATCTGTGTTACGCTTTTGACTCCTCCTAGAACCTGTAATTGCCAGCCAGCATCTGAAATGTGATGGTGTGTACTTAAAACCTTACCAGAGATCTTTTCTTATTGAAGAAAAAAGTAACTTTGGGTTAAAAACTAACTAATAAAAAAAAACAAAAACAAAAAAACAAACCCAAGATAAAAAGAAGTAAACCAAAGCCAGAATTCAATGTTTTTCTTTATACCACTTCTATGAAGTAGGAAAATGTTACTTTCCAAGAGGAAAAGGGAGGCACTTAATGCAAATGTCAGGAGTAATGAAGAGCCCAATGGCTATATGATAAGCACTACAGAAATTATTCTCTGAAGAAGATTATATGAAATGTACAGTCACTGGATCCTCTGGTCTTTCTGCTTTTTCCTCTTACACAAAACTATATGTATCTTCACTGATTTGAAGGCAGTGGAAGATGGACAGCAATACACTTTGGAGGATCTTGACTGTCACATTTTACCTCAACACAGAGAAAGTTTTTCACTGCCGGGAGTAGGAGCTGGGTCATTTAAGGTGTTTTACCCTTAAAGATCGGTTTTCCCCTGACAGTTCGAGAGATTTGGTGGCAGAATTTGACCACAAATAGAACAGGATTTTATAAATCTGTTTTCTGGATTCGATCCCCCAGCTTCTGAGAAAGTGAAAGGCACAGCCAAATTCAGCTCAGCTGTAAAATGGTGCTGAATTCAGATTGGGCTGTAATGATCTTTTTCCAAAATCATTTTGGGAAATTGATGTTTAAAGAACATTTTTTTCAGTGATGCATGAACAACTCCATTACTTCTAGCTGCAGATCTAGTTTTTTTTCCTTATCTTTATAAAAACCTGTTTCAGAACATTTGTCACCAAATTTCCTGGGCAAGCAGACACACTGATGTTGTAAACTGTAAATTCCTTAAATTCCCACTGCAATCCTCATAATTTTCCCAGGACAAGAATAAAGAGAAGATTAATAGAGCAATAATTCCCCTCTATTCAAATACACAACTGAAAGAAGTAGAGCTCAAGTGAGGGTTTTTCTTATACCTGAATAGATATTTTTGGTAAGATTTGTGGACATCCTCTCAGAAGCAGCATTGTCAAACAGCAGTCAGTGAAATTTCCCCAAATCAACATGAGTTTATGGTCTGCTATAAAGAGAGGTGAGGTTATCATGTGTTCAAGTATAAGCCGGAGTAAACAGTAGTTTCAGTAATCTCTGTCTCTTTCCATCTCTTATGTCTGTGTAATCTCTAAGGAGTTGTGTAAGCTCTACAGCTTGCCAGCTTCCTCAGCCACCAGGCATCATGAAAATCAGTGCTTCATGCCACAGCCTCAAGCACACAGTGTTGTTTTTGGAGGTAACTGCTCTGCACAGCAGTTTCACCTTACAGAGTGTGCAAAGGAAAGCAAGTAGTATCTTTTGGCAGCCCAGAGTTTTCATTTCAGTCCTTGGTCTGGCTGAGGACTGGTTTGAATTCCCAAGTAGTTTAAAGCAACCATGGCCAGAATGCACCTGGAAGTTTGGCAAAAAGCCTTCTTTCCTGGCCAAATTCCCTTTCCTAAGAAGGAAGCATGGCTTCCTGAGCCCAAATCCTGCTTGTGTTTCATTCTGTGGTGCTAGTTGCTGTATGAGTTTGACTTTTTACCTGGCTTTCATGGCCTTACTGTGGCCTTGACCCTTTAAGCTCTTGGGAAAAGGTCATACAGGGCACAGTTCACAAAATGCTAAAACAGTAGCCATCAGAAACAGTACTGAATATGGATAGAGTTTTACAGGTTAGGAATCTTTCTACATTACTTTTTTCCCCCCATGGCATTGTTTATAGTGTCAGCTAGGATGTATTTGGCCTTATTTTGGATTCTTCATGATCATCTTTAATTCAATTGCTATTTTTGGGGAGATGCCTATTGTAGTTTGATTTGTTATAGTAATAACAGTGTGACCAGGAGAGAAAAAATACGCACTTTACAAAGTATTCAGAGATATGCATTCTGAAGAGCATACTATAATATAGTTAAGGCCTCATTCGTGTGCCCTGGAGTTTTATGTGTGGCTTGGGTTGAAATTTGAAGCACACTTTCTGCCTAGAGAGGACTGCTGGCTTCTGCCTTCTTCATTTGGACCTGTAAGGCATCTCACTATGTAAAAAGCCATCTAGGTAAAATTTATCTCAAAAGGGTACTTTGCTATGAATTTTGAAGACAGCCATGTGGAGAACATTTGCTGTCACCAGCAGATGGTGACTGGAATAGCTGTCTCTCCCTGTACCTCTAAGCCCTTGAACAGTGTGAATACAGGCAGTGCAATAGTGATTTGGGGAAGTGATGGAGTAAATACACCCAGTGTTACAGCATGGGAGCAAATCCTGAGAGATGCAGAGCTCCTGCACAATGCCTTGAAGGCTGGGTGTTGGAAGAGTAAAATCTACAAGGTGCAGGTTGGTGGGGTTTGGAGTAAATATTGCTTTCCATTGCTTTCCATTCAGTCTGTTGTTCATTTGCTTTTTGTGGCACTAACTGACATCAGTGAGTTTTTTTGCAAAGAGTCTGTGCAAATGCTCTGACTCCTGTGGAATCAGAAATAGGGATTATGAACAAGGTGTTTGCGGTTTGACCTTGTGACATGAAGTGGCAGAAACTAGAATATGTTTTCTTTCAGGAGATTGTGTATTACTTTTCGGCGTAAAACTGTATGTATTAAGTGCAATATACTGAAATTTCACTTTGAGGATAAAACACTTGAGAAAGTAAGGTCTTTAATTCATTTCAAAGGGATTCAAAAGGATACTTCTTTTCAAAATCACATATATATATAATATAAAATAAAAAAAAGGAACTTTTTTTTTTTTCCTAAAATGAGACATTTTGTTTGATGTGAAACAAACAGGTACTGAAAATTTGGCATTGTGGAAATTCCCCCCCCCCCCCCCCCCCCCCGTGCTTTTGTTTCATATCTGAAGAAAAGCAAGTTTCGTAATGTGAGCTTTCTCCAGACAAAGGCATTTCTAGCTAAATCAGGATTTCTGAAAGGCAAACCTCTTTCAGCCGTGTATTCTGGATTTGCAATTTTCATTTTATTAATCTCTTTCTCTGTCATTTGTTATCTCCTATAATTCAGATAGCCTATTCCTGTTATTTAACTGCCATAGATAAATGTTTCTGCTGCTCCCCAAGTCTTTTTGGTTTCTTGTTCCTTGTAATTTAATCATCAGCAATTCTCTGAAGTAGCAGTTCAGGTTCCCTTATACCCTCGATTCCATTTTGCCAAACACAACACAAAAAAGATAGCCTTTGTTAAAAAGTTTAATGTTCTTAATTAGTAGAATTGTCAGACTAATTAGAATACCAATTAGAATTGGCAGGGCTATCGTTAATTTAGAAGTGCTGTGGTCTAGTGTTAATCGCTATTAAACCTTATAGTTTGTGAAAGAGAGGGAGCAAGGAGATGAATACACACGCACACAACCTCCCTCCCCTCCCATTTGAAATGTTAAGGGTCCATAACCATAATGATCCGTGCTGTCAATGTGTACTTAGGGACTGTTTAATCCATGGAGATGTTGATGCAAAGTTAATAACTATTTGTGCACAAAAGTAGCACTGCGGAATAAAAACTTGAGGGTTTTTTTTGTGTGCTGCTATTAAAATGACAAAATCCCATTGGCGGCTGGAAAAGATACTCAAAGCACCAAAGACTTCCTATTGGAAACGTGCAAGATAAATTCACTTTACTTGCTGTTACTTTTGGTACTGTGGAAGTTACTTTGCACTTCTTACAGCGCACAGCAAATAAAGATCTCACAGTACTGTAGATAGTGAAATTAAGCTTCAGCACCTGCTGGTTCAGTGAGTTCATATCAGTGCTTCATAGACAGAGGAGCTATCTCAAGTTCCTGTGGTGAGTCAAATATACAGTGGGAACCAGTGAGAGCTCAGCAACTTTTGGTCTCTGTATCTAACCCACTCGCACACAGTCCCTTCCCATTGACCTAGTTCTAACTTTAAAGTGGTGAGAAGTTTATGGAGCAAAACAATTTTATTTTTCAACCTCAAAGGAAAATAATGAAACTTCTATTCAGACTACGTTCTTAAAACATCTGTTCCTGAATGAAACCATAAGGGACAAGTTCCCAGAGGTGGATGCTGTGAATACTGCTGTGAATTCCATGTATGCTGATACCATGCGCACAGAGCCCAATTTATATCTGCAAGCGATTAGGAAAAATGGGTACTCAGGTGGCTAGAGAAGTGCACAAGAGCCTTATGTGTCCAAGTCCCAGGTACAAGCATAACTTTTCCTTGGCACAAATATATTTTCCACTTTGATGTTTTCTCCAGCTGGGCCAATTGCCTTTTGAAATCTCTTACTGGTGATAGATTGAGGCTAGAGTGCTGGTGCTGGTTATTATGTATCTGCGGCAATAGTGATGTGAACTAGAAGAGGATAGACTTAGGGCAGAGCAGGAAAGAACGGTCAGTGACACTGTTGGTCTTGTAGCACAGCATGAGCATTTTTCTGTTCCTCTCCAGCTTGATCTAGCTCAATTATTTCTCTACATACAGCACAGCTAGTTCACAGTCTGATAAAATCCACCCAGATCTGACTGGGCTGCCTCTGCTCTTCCAGGGAAAGTGAATTATTCATTTTCAAGGAAGTCGGATGTTTAAATTGCTACTTGTGTGTGGTCAAGAATTCTTTGCCTTGGTCAAATATCATCTTGTACACTAATGCTTCATTTAACTTCTGTTTATTGTAGAGCTATAGTTGAATGACACATATGTCTCTCTGCGCTCTTGCAGAAAAAACAGTGTGAATTTACATGCTTTATAGAGGAAAACGGATTTAAGAATTGGCTACAAACTTAACCTTCATATTTCCAATCCTATTACTGCTCAAAGCTAAGATTTGATTCTGGATAAGTAGAACACTTAAAAAAAACCAAACTAATTAGGATACAGTAAAATTAAATGATGAAAAAATTGTTTAACTGAAAACCAGCATGTAGGTTAAATCTTTCTCTAAGTTAGATAGTGAATGTCATAGAACTACATACAAAGCCATTTTGCTCTCTGCTCTTTACATTAGAGGGTAATTCAAATGATAAATAAAAATTAGTAATTAGTTAACAAAAAACAAAAAAAAATCTTTTCTCCCAACTCAAACCTTTGTTAAACACACAAGAATTCTCCCCAAAACATAATTGATTTATTTTCTTTTAGGGATTTTTATTGACTATGGGTCTTCTTATAAGTACTAGTACACTCATTTCAAGGCTTCAGTTTTGAGCTGCCTAAATGCTGTATGCAATGTGAGACCACTAGGACTTTTTAAATCTCATCAGATCCCACTCCAAATCCATCAGTTTCATTTTCAGTGAGAGTTTTTCTGATTAGGGAATGAAAAGAGATTCCTGGCGTCTTAGGCTGCTGAAACATTTTCTCTCAGCCACTTATTTCATGCTATACCTGCAGGTCTTTCCCACTTAGAGTCTAAAGAATCATTTCACTTTTGTTGAGGCAGAAATATGCAATGAGGGTGACACTGAGGATGGCAGTAAAGGTGGGCTTTTTTCACTGAGCTCAGTCCCAGTTAGATTTCACTCAGCACCACATTAGATGGGGGGTGAATAACAGCCCTGCATGTACGTGTGATGCCATGCAATGACTCGCGTACCCCCAGCTTGCTGCTCAGTGAAAGCCAACTGTCCAAACTTGCTTTTAGAGAATGGAAAGAGCAGGCACCATCTTCTCCTGGGATGTCTAAACTCTATGCAGTGAATCAACTTCTGTTACTTTCCACCGACTCTGTGTGTGTGTTAGACAACCTGCTCAAGACAATGTTTTTTTCGTGGCTGATGTTAGATGAATTGAATTCCACTGTAAGGCTTCGCAGGGGTCAAGACTAGAGATGCTTGGAAATCCTTTGACAGAAAAAGTTTCTTGTGATAGAGCTGCCTTCACAAATCAGAATTTTCTTAGGCATGTTTCACCATTAGTGAAGTCTGTTGACTGTCTACTCAGAAAGCCAAAACCATTCCTCTGTGGAGTCAATAAATCCCAACAGGAATAACATGTTCCTTGGGCTGTCCCAAAATGTGTATTTCTCTAGTCAGTTAAATGACAATGTGTCCTGTCTTAGAAGACA